ATCTATAATAAAATTTAATAAAAAATATAAACGACTTAGAGAATGAAGTTAATAAGAGAGAAAATATTTTATTTTTATTTAATATTAAATTAAATTATTATAATATTCTTTGTACAAATTAACCAAATCAAAATAAACGAGTGATTTTTTTTTTCTAAAATTTTATTATAGATTACTAACATACTTTAACTAAAAAATAAGTAGAAATATATTAACATTTTCCTATATATATATATATGAAAATTTGGAAAAGTTTGGAAGTGCGTTCTCCGCCACTGCCTCCAAGAAAAAAAAAATGATGAAAGAATTTCATAACACAACAAATTCTATGCCAACATAATTAGGGAAAGTTAAAGCTAAATGAAGAAAAGCAAAATCCGTTACTTGTATAAGCAAATAACATGAAGTAAACAACAAAAATAATGCATGGTCCGGGGAAGGGGGATTTATACCTGCACTATCTCCAAACTTACTGACAGAAAAATTGCTCCTAACAAACACACTTTTGATCTGTCCAAATTTGGATTGACGTCTTGCAACCTGTAAAAATAAATCACAAAAGTGACTGAAACATTAAAGAAATCCAAAATATAGATTATATATGGCAACTAGGAACGTGCAAAGATAAGCCACATGAATCAATAATACATATACGACTTGCTTAATGAACACAATGTCAAGTTCTCATCCTTTGCCTGTGTCTTACACTGTTTCTTTAAGTTTTTTCGGTATACATAAGCGGCAGCGACGTTTGAACCTCTTGCAAACTACCCAAACACCTCACCAATAATAAAACAATATAAGATGAACAATTATAAGTTAAAAACCAGCTGTTAAAAAGGTGATACTTGAAACCCCACAGGATCTTCATTCATAAGTCCACAACCAAAGGACCATATATCCCAACAAGCTGAAATCAATATGGATGCATTCTTCACTGCTCCTAAAAACTCTCAAAGCACAAAGACAATCATTTCCTATAAGGTCTACAATGACTTGGAAAAAAAAGGCCTTTCCCCTCTGTACCAGAAAGGTTTGAAATTTTCTTATCCTGGAGCAAAATCAGAAGTAATCCATTAGACCCATTTTCCATTCAAGCAAAAAAAAATCTGCAAACAGATGATGGAGAAAAGGGTACCCTATTTGTTGAGATTAAATTGACTAACTAAAAACAAAATATAAATAATAATAATAATAATAAATACCTTTTCCAAAATTTATTCAAAATTTAAGTAAAGGAAAATCTCATAAATCTAATACCTCTCCTTTTGTTATAAACATCTCAAACTTTAATTACTAAACTCCAATAATTTCAAAAGTGTTTCGATTTTTATGTCCGTATCAATTTCTTGACCAAAATCATTATCTTCATATTCATTCAATCTAACTATTTGTTAGGATTTGTTATATCAAATATATCTTGTATAAAGGTGTGATCAAATATTTCATGTCAAACATTCCTCTCATCAATTTTAATAATAAAATAATGATGTTCAATTAAATTAAATTTAAAAAAAATTGTTTTTAATCATCTCAATCTTTTCGATATGTAATTCATGCTCATCCATAATAAAACAATAATTCTCTTTGAAAGAAATTTCATATCTATTCCTTAGGATTTGTCTAATATTAAGAAGATTTTGACCTAATTCTAAAATGTAAAGAACATCTTTTACGAGTAGAATACTTTTTTTGGTTGATATAAAAATTGTTTATTTTCCTTTGCCTTGCACAATTTCACCATTATCCATCTTGATATAGAATTTTTTCTTGATCTGTTAATGAAGGTAAAAAAAAATGATAAACATTTAATCATGTTACTGATGTAGCCACTATCAATGATCCAGGTATTAAATTCATCTGAATTGATTTCTTTAGATTTCATAAATACATACTCATCTTCGTCGTCCACAAAAAGGAGGGAAGCATTGAAGATGGATGTGTTTGGTTGAAGAATAAGAACGAACGTACCTGAGTTATCAAATGCCTCAAAGTCATGCTCGCGAGATCGAGCTATCTCAATTGAATTACAAAATCAACGTATATTTATAAACGTATATGAAAGAGTTGATTGTATTAGTATTAGAATGTGAATTAGTTGTGTATTAGTTGATTAAAATTTGTTACCGAGATTGTTGAGAATGTTTGTGAGTTGTCATTTGTTAACTGCCTCTCAAATAAACTCCATAAATAATGTTTATAGATACTTTTATCTGCATTTTATTTTCATTCAATCAATTATATAATGATATCTTATACAACCTTGCTATAAGGTACGAACCCGTTCACAAGTGTGAGTTTGGCAATTTTGAAAAAAAATAAAATGTTACCAATATTACTGACCACACTAAATAAAAATATTGGGTTGGAGAAGCCTGATCTAATACCTTCTATTTATACCAATATTATAGTTAAGCATGTTTGCTAAAGCGAATTCCACTTGGATTTCTTACATCTTTAAATTTTTCTTATTTTTTTTTGTTTTAATTCTTAAAATTTTCGTTATAGAATGTCCCGGACTAGCATGAATAGTAACCCTAAAGATAGGCTATTATTGTTTTTTTTTTCTTTCTCAATTTGGTAAATGAGATTGTGATTTCTTTTCTTTCCCTATTGTTAGTAATACTGTTGGCAAGATATATGAACAAGAGTGCTAGGAGTGTTCAAATTGCTAAATTGAACTAAACTAGAAGAAAATTAAACTAAAATATAATAAATAGTTCACCAAATTGAATTGAAATAAAATAAATATTGACTAAACTGAACTAAACTATTATCTAATTTAGTGCACTATAGTTTTAAGAGTTTGAACTAAACTATAAAATTAACTAAATTAAATTATTATTAACTATAAACTAAACTGAACTAAATTAAAAAAAAACAAATTTAAAATCAACATTTTTAAATTTATCATTTTAAGTCTTGTTGTTAGTTTAATGTTTAAATGATTGTCAAAATAAAAAAAATATATTAATTAAGATAATAGAGATAAAAAAAATAAATTAAGATAACTAAAATAACAAGTTATATTTTAAATTAAGATGATTAGATTATGTTAAATGTATAATTTAATTAAGTAATGTATTTTTAATTTATATAAATAAGATAATCACAATTTATATATGCACATACACAATAGCATTACTTTTGTCTAAAGAGGGGACTTAAAACAATGGGAAGCGCTGGAAGGGCTCCTGATCCAGAAGAAGAGATCGCAGACCAAAGAAGCACTAAGAAAGTAAAGACGAAGGACCAGGAAGGGAATGACGACGTTCACATGGGAGTCGTTGCTGACATGCAAAGGAAGGATGGGTCCAAAAGATCATATGCGGATAGCGTGTTATTTATTGGTGGTGGCACGATATTCTCGGACTACCAGTCACTGTTGAAGGAGATGGAGGACTACGAAGATGTCAATGCTGTGGATGAGGACCACTTGAGAGAGCTGGAGGATGAACTTGACCCATGCCCTAAGATTTCCATATCTCAAGGAGAATTTGAAGAATGATGCGCACCATGGAAAAATGCTTTGGTAATCAATGTGCTAGGAAGGAAGGTTTCATTCAAAGCCATTGAACACAAAATCTATCGTGTTTGGGTCAAGGTTGGATCTATTCAGATCATTGACATGCCTAATGATTTCTACCTAGTTCAGTTTTCTGCAGAAGAAGATTATAGACATGCACTATACGAAGGTCCATGGATGATCGCTGACCACTATATTGTGGTGCAAAGGTGGAGACCTTTCTTTAATGTAACAGCCTCAAAGACTCGTAAAGTGGCAGCCTAGATCTGTATTCCTGGCCTCCCGATTGAGCTGTACAACGAAAGGTTTCTTTGGCGGGTGGGGAGCAAGCTTGGGGCTATTCTCAAGACTGACAAACTCACAACAATTCACTCAAGAGGTAAATTTGCACGCATCTGCGTGGAAGTGAGTTTGGAAAGAAAACTAGTGTCCATGATCAACGTAATGGGGCACATATTAAAGCTGGAGTATGAAGGCCTACATGCAATTTGTTTCAAGTGTGGAAGATATGGTCATCGCCAAGATCAATGTGGGGAAAGTTTTGATCACGAGAAAGAAACGACTTCCTCTTGTCCCAAAGATCATGAAGGTGCAATGGAGGTCGAGAAAGATAGTGATGGCGGCGGCCAACCAAACTCGCCATGCCCAATCAACCCTAGTATGGATGCATGCAACAATTCGATTGAGAAAAACACAAAATCTGGAGGAGATCCCGAAAAATCTGGCCATGATTCAGATAACCCTTATGGACCATGGATGTTGGTCAAGAGAGGAAGGAAATCTTTCAAGAATCATATCACCCCGAAAAATAAGGATACTAATTCAACACAGATTATATCCTCTGGTGCTAACAAACAAGAAGTGATTAAATCCTTAGAGGATAAGATCCTAACAGACTATCAGGAAAAGAACAACCCAGAAACGAAAAACACCCAGGCCATGCAAACTCACGTAAAAGTTCGTAACCCTCTTGGAGGGAAAAATCCACAAAATCCAAGACCAAAAATTAACCTTGTGGGCCCTATTGCAACTCGTAAGAAAGGTGGGGAACAAAAGACAGAAACTCAAGACCTTCAAGAGCCGAAGAAAGGCAATAACCATGTGAATCATATCACACCAGATTATAGGTCTACACAAGCGATGAACACCCAACGTGTAATGGATGGACTTCGATCACTAAACCACCAGTCAAGTGAAGACCCTTTTCTTCGTAACCTAGTGACGCATGTTATTAAACTTGATGAAGAAACTGCGGCGTTTGCTGCAGCCCTGCGACACCATTTTGAGCCTGATGGAGATTATTTACCAGCAGAAGAGAGACTTTTGATACATCAAGAAGAAAACCCAGGGGCCTCTAAGCCCACAAACCAAAATAGTCTCCAATAAATGTTCTATGTTGGAACTGTAGGGGTGCGGGTAACAAAGGTTTTGCTTCACTAGTCAATGATATGATTTATAACCATGAGGTGGGGCTTCTTTGCTTGCTTGAAACCCATATAAGTGGTGAAAGAGCTATGGAAGTATCTAGAAGAATCCTGCTCGACAAGAAGTTCTTAGTACATGCACAAGGTCATTCTGGGGGTCTTTGGTGTCTTTGGGATCCTAAGAGATGGAATATTGAAGTTGTTCACCACTCCTTTCAATTTATTCACCTTAAGGTTCTGAATAATTCTTCCCATTGGTTCTGCACGATAGTTTATGCTAGTCCGCATCCTCAAGATAAGGTTGTGCTTTGGAGGGAATTGACCCAAATCTCAAAGCATATTGATGGTCCCTGGAACTTGGTTGGTGATTTCAATGTTGTTCTGCATCAGCATGAAAGGATGGGAGGGGCACTCAACGCTAACCTTCGTGGGGACTGTGCCTTCCGTAACTTTGTAGATCAATGCAGCCTAATGGATATTGGGTTTAATGGTTCGGCCTTCACATGGAAAAGAGGTCAACTATATGAACGCTTGGACAGGTGTTTAGCTAACTTTGATTGGCGAGTAGCTTTTCCTGAAGCTTCTCTTACACACTTGAACCCGCTAAAGTATCATCACACTCCTATTTTATTACAATTGAATTTAGGTGTTGTCCGTTGTTCCTATCGCTGCCCATTTAGATTTGAAGCGGTTTGGTTAACTCATGATGAATTTCCTGAGTTCATACAACGTGAATGGAAGGCTAATGAGCCTTGGAATCAAAAGGTAGGTCACATTAAAAAATCTCTTTTAGAATGGAACTTAAATACTTTTGGCAATGTGTTTAAAGCTAAAAAATAGCTGCTTCGTAGATTGAATGGGATCGCTGGCAAACTAATGAAAGGCCCAAACCGTTTCCTTGAAAGACTTCAATCAGAATTATGGACTGAATTAGAATCTATATTAGCTCGAGAGGAAATAATTTGGTTCCAAAAGTCACGCTGCAAATGGCTCTTAATGGGAGATCGAAACACCAGATACTTTCATGGCACTACCGTCATAAGAAGAAGGCGCAACAAGGTTGAGAGGCTCCTGAATGATCAGGCCTTGTGGGTAATGCAACAGGAAGAGTTGGAGGCTATGGTCACTGAGTACTATAAACACCTTTTCCTCGAATCAGGAGATCATAACAACTTGTGTCTACAAAATGCCTTCCCTTCCCTAGGGACTGCGGAATTAGAAGTCATTGGTAGACCAATCAGTGATGAAGAGATCCTACAGGCTATCAAGCGTATGGGGAGTTTTAAAGCTCTGGGACCTGATGGCCTATGAGCTATCTTCTATCAATCACAATGGAATGTGGTTGGTCCTTCTGTTTGCAAATTAATACATGACATCAAGGAACAACCATCTAAAGTGGCTGATATTAACGACACTCTTATAGTTCTAATACCAAAAGTGGAGGTAGTCACACATCTAAAACAAATGAGACCAATAAGCTTGTGTAATGTCTCATACAAGCTCCTAACGAAGGTTCTTGCTCATCGCCTAAGGAAGGTCATGGAATATCTGGTGCACCCAAATCAAAGTAGCTTTGTGCCTCATAGAAATAGTAAGGACAATGTCATTGTCTTTCAGGAGGTAATGCATTCTATGAAGTCCAAGAAAGGAAACAAAGGTTGGATGGCCATCAAGATTGATCTTGAAAAGGCATATGATCGTTTAAATTGAAATTTCATAAAGGATACTTTACTTGATATTGGCCTTCCTTCGAGTTTTATAAACCTAGTTTGGGCTTGCATTTCCACTACTAAGTTTCGAATACTTTGGAACGGAGAGGCCTTGAGTGAGTTTCTTCCATCACGAGGAGTGAGACAGGGAGACCCCATCTCCCCCTCCCTTTTTGTGCTTTGCATGGAGAGATTATTCCATTTGATCAACATGACTATTGAACATCATATCTGGAAGCCTATTTGCTTATCTAGATCAGGCCCTTTAATCTCTCACCTGGCATTTGCAAACGATCTTGTTCTCTTTGCAGAGGCTTCAACAGACCAAGTGGAAGTTATAAAAGCTTGTCTAAATACATTTTGTGATAGTGCAGGGCAAAAAGTTAGCCAGGAAAAAACTAGGATCTTCTTCTCAAATAATGTGGGCCATGTTGTGAGAAATGAAATTAGCTCAGCTTTTGGCTTTCAGCGAACGAATGATCTAGGTAAGTATCTTGGAATTCCGACTCATCACTCCCGAGTGAACAGGGTCACCTATCAAGGTATAATTGATAAAATAAATAGTAGGCTCAGTGGGTGGAAAGAAAAAAACCTTTCCTTTGCGGGAAGATTGACTCTAACTAAGTCTGTTCTTCAAGCTCTTCCATCTTAGACAATGCAGATGGTGTACCTTCCTAGAGCACTGTGTGATGAGTTGGACAAAATCTGTAAAAGATTCTTATAGGGGGATGGGAATAGAACTCATCATCCTCATGCAATTAATTGGAAGACTGTTTTCTTGCCTAAAGCTAACGGTGGACTAGGCCTGAGAAAAATGAGGGACATGAATATTGCTTTCATGATGAAAAATTGTTGGAGCTTGATTAATGAACCTAACAAATTATGGGTACGGGTTATAAAAGCAAAATACGGATGTACAAATGAGATTATCCCTGTTGTCACAAAGAAATCATCAATGTCAAACCTATGGCAAGGCATATGTGCTGCTTGGGATTGGTTTCGGCCTAATATCAGGTGGAAGGTTGGAAACGGCAGGAAGTTGGGTTTTTGGATTGACAATTGGCTGCCTGGTCTAGGTGCAATCATTAATCACGCCTTAGTTTTTATTCCACCGATTGAGATGTCTAAATGTGTGCATGAATACGTCTCAGACCAAGGAGAATGGGAAATTGATCATATCTGCGAGCTAGTGCCATCTAATGTGTGGCAATCCATCATTAGTTCGATTATCCCAACAGATTCAGCGGGAGCAGATTCTGTCCTTTGGGGTCCAGCTGCAGATGGAGTGTTCTCTGTCCTTTCTGCATTTGAAGTATCATCACAAATATCAACCCTAGATCGCAAGCCCATTTTCAAGGTGATTTGGAGATGGAAGGGCCCTGAAAGAACTAGAGCCTTTTTATGGAGAGTGGCACACGAGAGCCTAATGACAAACTCCACTAGAGTCCATAGGGGTATTGCTTTGGAAGCCAACTGCCCAGCCTGTAATCATGATAATGAGGATACATGGCATGTTCTCCTTCATTGTAATTTTGCACAACAAGTATGGTCTAATTTTTTAGCTTTCGTGAGGGCAAGAGATTTCTCAAATTCAGATATTCAAACCTGGTTACTACATCACCTATCTCGGAATCATTCTACCAATGAAAAGAGAAGCACTATTTTTGCTACAACGATTGACTGCCTTTGGCATAGGAGAAATCGGCTAGTATTCCAAAACACCGCAATTTCATCAGAGCAACTTGTTGTAGAAATCAACGCCCGTGTGAGGGTTATGTCCGGCAATTGTGGCTCAGCCCTTGAAGGTTTCATTCCAACCATGTCCAACCCCTCTTGTTTTGGTCCCGTCCACCTGTCAACCACCTCAAGCTGAATTGCGATGGATCAGTTTCTGTCAGGGGTCTCGCTGGTTGTGGTGGAATTGTTAGAGACGCAGCTGGAACTTTTGTTCTAGCCTATGCATGCAAGCTTGGAAGTTGTTCTATCACCAATGCTGAAATATGGGCTATTCTTCATGGACTTCGAATCATTCGAAATAACAACTTGCTTGGCAGAATTCTAGTTGAGACAGATTCATTGACAGCAATTAATCTCATATCTCACGGTTGTGATCACTCTCATCCAAGTTTCAATCTCATTAAAGAAATTCAAGATTTGAGTAATCAGATGCTGGTTGTCTCATATAACCACATCTTTAGAGAAGCCAACAAAGTTGTTGATGCCTTAGCTAGAAATAGCCTTTCCTCACAAGAGGACATTGTCCTTTTTAATTTTTCTCCTAGATGTATCCATTCCTTATTGCAGACAGAGTCTTCTGCTGCTTTCCTTGATTAATTCTAGTCTTTCGGGCTTTTAGCCCCTTTATTTACCAAAAAAAAAATATGCACACACACACGCACGCACACGCACACGCACGCACGCACACACACATACGCACACGCACACGCACGCGCGCGCACACACACACACACATATATATATACACTAGTGTTTACATGTACTTAATACACAACTTATAAATTAAATAAAAATAAAACTCTCTCTCAACAGATTTTCCACTCTCAACTAAATAATGAAAGACTTGTATATGATACAAGAAGGATTTTTGACAATCATTTGCTTTACTATATATTCTTTTGTTAAAAGTTCTTCGTCAGATGGTGGTGTGTTTAGGAACCATGGGGGTGAGATTTTATTTTCCTTTGCTGCCTGCCAACGTTGGTTTCTATTCGTTGCTCCGTAAACTGAACTATTAATTTTAATAGTTGAGTTTTATAAACTGCACTAAAAATAATAATTTGGTTAAAACTATTAAAAAATAGTTTAGTTTATTTTAGTTTAATTTAGTTTAGTTATTTAAAAAGTTTAGTTTAAAGTAGTTTTGTGAACACCCCTAAGGAGTGCTGAGAGGTTGGTGTTCCGTTCTTCTCGTGCAGTGGAAGTGAATTTGATGAGATGTATGTTGGTGTTGGTGCAAGAAGGGTGAGAAATCTTTTTGCTGCTGCAAGGAAGCGATCACCTTCTATAATATTCATTGATGAGATTGATGCTATTGGAGGAAGCCAGAATCCAAAGGACCAAATTACATGAAGATGACATTAAATCAGTTACTGGTTGAGCTAGATGGATTCAAGCAAAATGAGGGCATAATTGTGATTGGAGCTACAAATTTTCCAGAATCAATGGATAAGGCATTGGTGAGACCTGGGCGCTTTGATTGCCATGTTGATGTTCCCAATCCAGATGTAAAAGGAAGACATCAGATTTTGGAATCACCCATGTCAAAGGTGTAGTCTCAAGAAATACAAGAGAGAGAAAATGAGAGAAAAAGAGAGAAATTTCGAGCTCTAGAGAGTCTGGACGAAATTTGGAGTCCGGAGAAATGAGCCCCAGTTGTCTATTTATAGACTTTAGAAGGGGTCCAGAACGGCCCGTTCCAAAATCGGAAC